GTAATGGCATTATGTAATTTAATTACAAAATAAATGTAACTGTAATCTGTTACTTAGAAAAAAAGTGTAATTAAATTACAGTTACTTATGAAAATGTTAGCGATTACAAAGGGGGTTACATCGGAATATGTTCTGCAAAAAGCTAGGATATGTAAAGCCATTTAGTAAAGTAATGCTATTCTAATGCTTTTTATTGGTTCTCTTATTTGAATTTGCAGCACACCACGTCTGCCAATTACATCAATCCACATTATCGCTGAACACTTTAGGCTGCAACCTGTCTGTCTTTTAAATAGGGTAACTTAAAATCTGTAACCTATTACATTTCCAAAGTAACCCTCCCAAAGCATGATTTTGTGTTTTTAGTTGACAGTGCTGTGGGGAGTGAGACTGGTGCTATCCGTGGTACTTTCATGAGAGACACGTATACAGTGGGAGGTAAGAAAAGGGTCTGAACAGATGTTGTTTTGTATATAAAATCTATAGGCCTACAATATAGTTTGCATAAGTACCATATTTGCATAAGTAAGAAGTTGAATGTTTGTCAATGTTTCTTTCATATCTCATTGAAGCTGGCATAGAGAATCCAGTATTCTTGCCAGATATGGACAGTCCCACTCACAGCAGCCTTCCCTGGCTAATGGAGACTGAGGCTGTCGCACCTTCCCAGAGGGCCCAGCGACGCCTGCCCTGGACACCCAACAGACTGCGACGTCTTGCACCCATGAGGATCAGCACCTGCTCCACAGACTCCTTCCTGATGGCTGATCTGGAGGAACATGAGGAACAGCCCCAAACAGACCATGAAGAAATGTGAGTTTACACATACTTATCTGAAAAAATTCAGACATTGTTACTGACCATGTGTTTTTATGACTACAGACGACCAGCCTTTGACTAGATACTTCAGGGCAATAATGCGGCATGTCACAAAGCACATCCACAGGCATGGAAGCATGTGTCTACAGATTTCAGGCCAAACCTCCAAAAAAAAACACGGTGGAACTGGAGAATAGCTGCAGGATATTCCACTGAAATGAAACAGCGTGGACCAAAATCTCATGGATGTTCCCATGGAATCCATTTAGGGCAACATATTCATGTACTATTGAGTGCGTACAGCAGTAGAAAAAGAAAACGAATGCTTTCAAAGTTTTCCAAGTGACGCTTCTGCCTTTTCCAAATTTTATATGATTTTTAAAATGTAAACACCTTGTGAAATGGTTGGTCAAAAAGAGTTTCCTACATGTGCTGACATATTTCCCATTGCAAAAGGAAACTTGGGCTTTAAAATAGCCAATAACCTTCAGTTTACACCACAGCCATGATGAACATTATTCGCTATGCGCTATCTCTAATCGGTTTTAACTGCTGAACTTTTTTTGGGGTCAACTTTTAGGACTAAACTAGATTATTATAGATGGTCTCAAATCTAACAGACACTAACAATAAGCATCTAATTTTGATCTTTAACACTGTGTTGGGGGAAAGGTTGAGAATGTGTTTTGTGCAATAATGCTTATGTAATATTATGGAAGCTTGTTTCTGCCACAGAATGAAAAAATAAATTAAAAAAAGGAATTGTGATTACTTTTACTCAATACCTATTTTTTTTCTCAGAATTGCAAGATATAAACATCTTGCAATTCTGACATTTTTTTCCTCAGAATTGAGAGTTTATATCTCACAGTTAAGTCTGCGAGAGTCACAATTACCTTTTTTATTTTATTATCCCATTGTGGAAACTGCTTCCATATAATGTAGCAAGGGAAAAGCCATGTAGGCTTTTGTAAGATCCAGCTTGTAGTTTCATTTCTCTACAAGGCAGATTCTTCCCTGCATCGCAATGTGCAACTAAATTAATAAGGAAGGAATTAAGTAAATTTGATATAAAGATAGTTTTCACTCATATAATTAATTTTAGACTGTATGTGAGTGAATTGAGGTGGTAACTGTTACAAACTATGTTTGTGTATGGAAAAGGTCATATTTTAAATCAATTGATTGTATCTTTCATTCAAATAATATATTTCTCGGGGACATTGTTCTTTCCTTTGTGGGATTAATAAAGTATTTATCAACATTTCTATTTATCTAATCTACTGTTAGCCATTCTTACTTCAATCTACATCTGTATACACTTTTATTTTGACATTTTTATTTTTCAGTTGGAGTAATTTTGCTATGTATAATTAATTATATATATATATATATATATATCAATTTTAGTAATATTTCTCATTTACATTTAAGTGAATCATCTAATATTTATATTTTATTGCAAATAACCAACAATTATTTTTAATAGTTAATAACACTGAACTACATACTCCTTTCTTGCACAGTAAACAGAAATGCATGTACATTCAATATTTATTCATATGTGTAATTTTTGTCCAAGACAAACAGTTTAAAAGACATATCCATCAAAGTTTGCATACATACAGCTTTAATTAAAAGATTGACAATTAAATAGAACAACCAAATAAAAAGACCCAATGAAAGACCACAATTAGAAGGGCTGAGATAAAACGAGAGACAAATATATATTTTAAAACTGGACAGTTCTGTTATCATTAATATTATTTCATCACACTTAAACTAAACGGTTATATCAGAGCGCTGAACATCATGTTGCATCACAATGGAAAGACTGCTGACTTTGAAGAATCCTATGAAGCTCCTTCAAGATGAGAAGAAGCTTGCATAGTATGATAAATCTGATACATATTGTGCTGTATTTAATCACAGATACAGATATCCTCATTTTATAATCACCAGATCCTCATGTTAATAAATGTAACAGTTGGATCCGTGAAGTTCATTTATGAAAAAGTGTCTAAAACTGGAATTTAAGCCAAATATTAGTGACATTACCAATTCCATTATTGCTATTTCATCACGTATAGAGAACACAGATTTGTCTTGGTTGTTAGAAATGGTTTGAAGACAAAAAACAATAAAGGGAAAACATCACTTGGGATGAATTTCCAGGCTTCTTTTTGAATAGCCTGACTGGTCAGTGCTTGATCTATTAGTTTTGCAGTGCCAAATCCTTACAAAAAGTAGCAATAACCTTTGTAGAAAGTTTGGTCCAGAGACCCTGTAACTGGCAAGCTCAGTGATTTAATGTGTTCTTGGCGAAAAAAGAAGCACAATCACACCCACACATACAGTTTTAACACTCTTGAACACACATTATACAGTATATCATATTAATATAACTTCATATAGGCTGGTTGGGCCCTTAAAAATGTCGTATTTTACCTGTCTGAGAACAGCACCATCAGAAAAGGCACATTCCACTAACTCGTCTGCCCAAAGGATGAATCTTCACCTCAGCAAAGTCAGAAAAATAACCTCAAGCAGCAAATACTCTAGGCTTGAGGAAAACAGTTTATCACTTTAATTCAGACACAATTAATATGAGTTCAAGAGGGCTTGACGCCTACAGGCATTTTTAAATGTGCTTGTGTGTGAATCATCCTGTTTTTAATCAACTAAATGGAAATGTTTTAGGCGGTACCTTCATGTTTAAGTCAATAAAAGCGAGAGGACTGAAGGTTCATCCCTTTGTGAACTACATAATTTCGCTCATAAATACCATAGGACAATGCAGAGACACTCACAAACGACTTTTTCTTCGAAAAACAAGACGAGACGAATCTACTAGTCAATAGTCTATTGCATATTAGCCCAATTTATATTAGTCACTATCATGATTAAGATCACTATTACCATCTTTTGCTTATCTTTCATAGACTTTGTTAGCAAAAATAATTGATGTGCATTATGCAGTTCCGTTATTTAAAAATATACAAATATACTTCTCCTCTGAATTAAAAATGCTTTAAGGTATCCGCAGTCCAGCTTTAAGTCAAGGGGTAGAGAGGGTCGCGTCACAGTTTCAGTGGGAGGTGCCATTTAAGCCACACCCACCAACTCAAATAGCCCCACCTACAGGACTTTTTTAGCGATTTATTCCGTGGCAACTTCAGAAGGCTGTATAAGTGGTCACCTAAAGCCAAACATGCATACGGTTGAAGGTTCTACTAATCACTCCCCGTATTCAAGTAAGTTCAAATGCTGGTAGCGGCAGAGAAGTAACAGTTCTCAACACATCGAAACAAATGAAAAAGAGCACCGAAGCCATTTGACATTAGCGCAAATTTTATTTTTTCCAGAACTAAACTCCAGTTAACTCGCTAAAAGTGACATTTTATTTAAACTGTTTGGATATAATATCATGTGGGTTTGGTAATTCGCAAAAAAACTCGAAAAATTAGCGAGCTAACCGAACATCACACTCTGAAAAAAATCCAAACAAGGCTCTAAAGATCTACATTTTTCACCATACATTAAAAAATGATAACATTTTCGCAGTAAATGCGGAGCAGACACATTAGCGAAGTTAACATCCCCGAATTACAGCACCACACCTCTTAGCACCTTGGGCGTTTCGCCAAATCCGAGACGGACAGCTTTTTAAGTGCAGCAAAATATTTGTCAGTCATTTCTCAGAATCTCTCTTGTTCTCTCTCCACATATAAAAGCAGATGTAGTTTATGTAAAATAGCAGCTACACTGGTCAACACATATTTGTGGCTATAGGGCAGAAAGACCACAGTGCCATTCACATTAAGGGTGATGTGAAAGTGTGCCAGAGGCCATGGAGTTAACAAATATAACCCTCCACCTACCCTACTGCAATCCAAACGCCTTTACTCAATACTCCCTGCTACCCCCGTTTTCCGAGGCACATCGGTTTGGTCTGTATGGAATGCAGCTGAATATACAGGGGCTGTAAACACGCAGGGGTTTGAAGAAAAGAGGTAAAAAAAAAAAAAAAAAAGTGTCTGAAAGTTCAAAAGAATGTTTGAAAATTCAAACAGAATGTGTGAAAATGTAAACTTGAAGTTCAAATTAAAGTTTGAAAGTTCGAAATGCAATTTAAAACCTCAAAAGAGAATGTCCAAATGTTTAAAAGAAAGTTCAAAAAGAGCTTTTGAAAGTTCAAACGTTCAAAAGAATGTCTGAGAGTTCAAAAGACAGATTGAAAGTTCAAAAAAAAGTCCAAAGTTTAAAAGAAAGTCCAAAAGAAAATGTCCCAGTACTTGGTTTATTCAGTTTTATATTAGTTCAACTATTCAAATTGCCCTTAACAACAAAAAGACCTTAATAACAACCATTTCAATAGCTAAATACCTGTCCAACCTATGTACACGCCACTTACTTTAAATATATATTTAAAAATACCCCAATAGAATTGCGTTTTAGGGATATTTCCTACAAAACAGGCACTTTGTCTCATTACATTTTACATGAAAGGTTTGTCCAAGATCTCTTGACAGCAAACTGATTCTTTCCCATAAAACATACCCATGAGAGTATCCATCTCCTCTGTAAACGCAACTCAGCATTCTAGCCTTAAAACACATCATCCATTTCAATTCAAGTTCTCTTACACAATGCCACATACAACAAAACTTTTTTGTGTGTGTAAATTAAAGCATTCACTCATAAGGTACGGTTTGCATTGTATAATGAAAGTCTACGACAGAGCCGTCAATAATTGGCTTATTGCACTAAAAGGCTTATGGGACAGTGTTTGTCAGAGTTCACAGGGCTAAAACGCGAAATAAAGAAACTGATAAGATAAACAGATCATTTCCAGATGCGCTATTGACAAATGCAAGTTAAAAGCAACATTATAAATAAGCTCCGAGATCATAAGTCAGAATGAAATGTCGCACTCAAAATGAATGAGGCACAGAGACAGTTGACTATGTGGAAACTTTTTGCCAACCCTTGAGTTTCAAAGTTCATCTTTTGTTGATTCTGCAGTCCTTAGCTAATCTGTCACCTCTGCTTAATGAGCGAGCCGAAGAGAAAGCCGTCAGGAACCGCAAGGAACCAATAGTTCAATGGTAGGCGCAATATTTTCCAGACAGCACATGGACTAGAAAGTTAAAGCATCACAGAGGTATATAGAATCATTTGAAAGACTGTGAAATTGGAAGAAAAGAGGTGCCTCCAATGTTCAAAAAGCAGAATAAGACATGGACACATGGGAAATGAGATGTAAAAGAACAAATATGGATTTCCGACTAGTTGGAATGAAATGGAATGACATTTCAGTTGTCTTTTTTGCAGATGCTAGATAAGATTTTGCTGGAAAAGCATGATTTACTAGTAAAATATCAAGAATGGTTTCAGATTAGCGCAGCAAATGTCCCGAGCAGTGATCCTCAAATCTGGCTCGCGAGATCCACTTTCCTGCAGAGTTTAGCTCCAACCCCGATCAAACAAACCTAGCTGTGATTTTCTAATGATCCTGAAGACATTGATAAGCAAACTCAGGTGTGTTTGATTAGGGTTAGAGCTAAACTCTGCAGGAAAGTGGATCTCGCGAGCCAGATTTGAGGATCACTGGTCCAGAGGAACCGTGGAGGACCTACAGTAAGATGTCTTAGCCAACTTTGCACTGCCCTCTAGTGGCATTCCTCCAGCAACCGATTTAATCAAACCTAAAAAAAAATCCTAATCCTAAACCAAAGGTGGTTCCAAAGATTAGTTCAAACACGCCTGCCTAACATTTTCAACTAAACCAGAAGACACTGATGTTCAACTTCATGTGTGTTTGATCAGTTGTGAAACAAAACTCTGTAAAAGGCGAAATCCTGATGAGTAGGACTCATCAATCTGCTCCTAAAGAAATAACACTGCCTCATTCACCGATCTAGTACGAGTTCATCAAGCAAACCTTCTTAAGCTTGGTTTTGTGACCTAAATAGGCAAAATTAACAGTTAAACAGATCTACAAATCTAATAAATAATGGTATAGTTGCAATCTACATATTAAAAACAATTAGTAAGCGAAGCAGACTGGAAAGATTGGCTGTTTTTCTATTGCATAACAGTGCTAGTTCCTCCTGTAAATTATACATTTGGTTCTCTTTAGCAGCCTGTGATTGGGAGAAGCCCTCCTCCGCTAAGTGCACGATGACCGGCGACTGACAGGTCTGTGAAGGCGGAGCTAAGCAAAGTACATGGTCCTCAGAGTGTCGTGATGGATCTGCACAGCTTTGGCCAGGACCTGGGGGTCTCGGCCATTACTCTGGCCCGACACGTGGCTGCCTTCCGCACTGTGAAAGAGGAGAAAGAAATGAGCAGAGGCAGAAATGTACACTATGAAATACATTTTCCTTGACATACCAGGGAGATACAAACTTACACAATATGTGCACTACCATTCAGGTTTTCAAGAAATCAATCAGCAATGATGCATTAAATTGATCAAAGTTGACATTTATATTTATGTTTAAAAAAAGATTTCCATTTCAAACAAATATTGGTCTTTTTCTTAAAAAAATTATACCGATCCCAAACTTTTGAACAGTACATACACTGTACACAGTAGTAAAGTGCAAACATCAATATATAAAAACTGATTAAAAAGTGTTAACTTGAAACATACATAAATATAAAGAAGAAAAAAAAAGAAAAAAAATCTCCTTTTTAACACTCAGGAGCTGTGAAGATGTGTAGATAGATACAGTCCAATGATATAAAATACTACTTTTATATGGTATTGCAACACAAATCTGAGTCTGTTTTTTAGGCGGCTGGCTTGAATAATTCAACTTCCTGAAATCAAACCATCACTCTGAATCATTGAAATGAAGAATACTGGCTCACTGTGACACCTGCGGCAACCAAGAATATGCAAAGCCTATTCAAATCCGAATGATTGACAGCTTCCAAAAGCCTTTAATTTAAATCAAATAGAACATTTCTACTTATACACACCAAGACAGCGACAATCAGGCCAGTAAATCCCTCACCTGTCGTGCTCTTTATCCACTAAATGGTAGCGGGCTCTAAAGGCCACTAGGTGGGCATAGTAGGCAGGCGCAGGGATGGAAACGGAGCGGGTACAGCGTACATATGTGTGGCACAGCTCTCTGAACACGGACGGTAGCGCAGTACCTGCTGGGGTGAGCGTCCATGCTGCCCACCACCTGCTCAGCAACAAATTTGAAGTGAGGAGAAGCAGAAAAACAGTATTTCTTTGAAATATCCACAGTCAACATAGCAGTCTAACTTTCAGGTCCATAATGAGGATATGATTTTAGGGTTTGCAAATGATTTTTTTTCCTTCACAAATGTGCATGATGTGATTAAATTGTAAAGAATATGACAAAAAAGGTGTGTATATGTGGTCTGTCTTTCTCACAGCTGCAATGGAGGGTTTTTTGCCATCTCCTGCAGGCGGATGAGTTACATCAGCTCCCAGAAAAATGACAGGCTGCTGGAATACAGATGGGCTGAAAATCAAACAACATAAATACACATAAACAAGGTGTTTGGCACATTTAGGGGCATTTTGTCTTTAACAATGAAACCAAGTTTTCAGTGTAAATGGATTCATTTTATTCTCTTACCGCTGATGGGGTACCAGTATGTTGTTGATGCCGCCCAGTTTGACGTTGATCTTGAGACAGAGGTTGGAGAGGGTCTGAGGGGAGGTTTTCACCACGTTCTTCACCTGAACGCACTGAGTGGCCATTCCCAGAAGAGTGTCTCCAACACGTTTCACTTCAGCTAGAGAAAGAGAGCGCAGACTTCAGTGCAACAGTGAGGAGCTCAAAGAATATATCATGTGGGAGCCGAACTAAATCGAAACTTAATGACCAAATAAACATCTGTCCATAAATAGTTACCATAGACAGGAGTTTTCCCAGGCAATATGACGATGATGAGTTGGAGGCCAGCGTAGGTGTTTTTCAGGTGGCGGAACATGGGCTCCACATTATCGGCTCCCTGAGCGTATTTGCAGAAACATGGCTGGCCCTGTATGGGCATCCCTGCATCCTTAGAGATCTTCCGCAGCTGGTCTGTAAAGCCCCTGCAAAAAGACAGGAGAGACACTTCAGTATTTCTTTTTTAATCCCATTAATAAATGGTGATTTGTTAAAGACAAAAAGATGGAAAAAGCTTTACTTGAGAACTTCCTCTCTGCATTGTCTCTGAGTGGCAAAGCAAGCAATGGCCCACATCTTTATCTCCACACCAGTATGAAACTGCTTGCCTCTCATATCCCACACTCCATGACTTGGGGTGGCTACTGTACGATTCTGTAACACATGGATACAAAGGTTGTCTTAACTTGTTGAGATCAAATAGTATATGAACTCAAACAGTATACGGTGTTAAACGTTTGGCCAAACCTACAGTATGTACTTTTATACAGCTGTTACAATGAAAAACATCAAAGTTCTCACTTTGGGAGCTCTACAAATGCTCCACAATGTCTAATTTATGTCTTTAATATGGCTTTCAAACTAGTTAAGTTTGTGCTCAAAAAAAGTAATCATCATTTACTCAAACTGTTGACATTCCAAACTGTTTGAATTTCCTTTCTAATGTGGAACACAAAAAAGGACTGTCAAGCTCAAAAAACCCAAAAGAACACCATAAAACAACATAAAACTAGTCTATACAACCATATTTTAAGTCTTCTAATGCTGTACAAATCTTGCTTGACAATCATAATCATTGTTCACTTCTACTGCATGGAAACATGCAGCTTAGACATTCTGCTGCAAATTTCTCCTTTTGTGTTTCACAGCAGTAATTCATACAGGTTTGGAATGACATGAGGATGAAGAAAATAATGACTTTCCATTTCTTACTTTTTAATTATATTTTTGGTGAATAATCCCTTTAAAAAAGCCAAACAAATTAAACAGTTGTAAGAAAACAATAACAATAATAAAAAAAATCACATTAAATGCTTCATTAAAAGCCCTATAAATAGCCACACATATTCACAATTTAACAAAAAATGCAAATGCAAAACAATGGTATAAAAGATATAAAAAGCCAAGCAATTACACACAAGCAACAAACCTCATTATATTAAAATAACACAGCAACTCCTCCCACATCAAAGTCTCTTTAAGAGTATTCTATAGTCTTTGTCCCACATGTAGACATTAAAGTGCCCCTATTATGGATTTTTAAAAATTACCTTTCATGCAGTGTGTAACACAGCTCTAAGTGAATGAAAACATCCTGCAAAGTTTTAAATCTGAAAGTGCACCGTGTATAAAGTTATTATCTCTCAAAGAAAGAGTCGACTCTGAATCAATTAAAAGAGTCGGTTTTAAAACGAATCCCAAGCCGTTTCATGTTGACGTCAACATGAAACATTAGCATATTGCCCGCCCACTTGTTGGTCTTTTAGCATTGGTTGAATGAAAACGCAAATTCATTCTTTGCAACTAGGTGCTGCTTTTGGAGCGGTACAAATAGCTGTTTCCCCGGTAATGGCTGTACACAAAGCAGCACTGCACTCACAAACGCTGCTTTATCAGGCATTACAGGCATGATGAAATGAAAATGAGACCAATCGGAACAAGCACCACAGATTAGAGTCACGCAAAGGAGGGGTTTGGAAAAATGAATCGTTTGGGAGTCGTTAAGCAAGTAAGGTAAAAATAAATGCATATTATAAGACAATGAAAGTGTTTTTTGACCTTGCATGCATGCCAACCTGTTGTTGGGGACTCCCAAAACCAAAATATGAACCTTTCATAACCCATAATAGGGGCACTTTAAAATTAGCACACATTAATTATAATTATAAATGTTAAATCAAGCCTCAAACCATGACCAATTTCTAGCCTTCTACTCAAACACAGACACACATACAGTGCATGAGTGAAAGGGAATGGGTACCATAAAGTGTTCAGAGCTCACCCTGCCGCCATACTGCAGCATAGGGGCGGGCAGGACACGACCCGTCACCTCCGCCATCTCATCCCGTACACGGAACTGAAACTCCTGCACGAAGGGGTCCGAGTTGTAGTTGGCACTGCGCACCTATGTTTTCAGAAAGATTGAGAGTTGAGACTGATTGAAAATCCTTGTGACAGTTTTGGTTTTTGCCTGGATACTATGAAGAATTACTATGATACCAACATTTTGGTAGTCTACATGAAGAATAAGGCCTACTGCAGCATCAGACAGCAACACACTGAACTCACCAGTCTGCTGATCTCCTCTTGTCTGTCCGGTGCCGAGCGGGCCGTGGCTTTGATCATGGTGGAGGTTTGGTTGTCTGTTAATTTTTTAATGCAGCGCTGGCCTGCCACAATGTTGCACACCTGAGTGATAGAGAGGACGGTCAATTTTGGCACCGAGACATCTGAAAAGCTTCTCAAAGTGTCTAGACGTGAATCCATAAATCAGTGAAGAGATGGTGGCTGTGGAAAGAAATGGTAGCTAATGTAATTGATCAAATATCTAGACTCTTACCTCTAAAGGCAGGTATGTGTGCTTCTGCTCTTGCCCTACTTGCAGGCAGGGCAGATGGGGGTACTTGAGCTGTAAGTTGTACTTTTCCCTGAAGTATTGTGCCACTGTTCTCTCCACAGTCTGTCCATTTTCCAACTGTAATGGAAACCTGACATAGCAAAACAAAAATTCAAAGAAAGTTAATGGAGAGCTGGGGTGACTAGCTTTAAACAAAAAGGTATGAAAAAATTCTGAAATGTTCTCATCAGTTTTTGCTCTTTAGAGGAATAGTTCACCCAAAAATGAAAATCTGCTGAAAATTACACATGCTCGGCCCATTTAAGGTGTATACGAGTTTGTTTGTTCATCTGAACAGATGTGGAGAAATTTAGCATTACATCACTTGCTCTCCAATGGATCCTCTGCAGTGAACAGGTGCCGTCACCACTGTGAGCAAGTGATGTAATGCTTCAATATAACAAAAAGGACAGTAAAATATTTCATCTTTTTGACACAGTACAGACTTATTGGCCTGCTAACTGAGAGACAATCAAACCTCACATTATCATAAGAAATATACAAAACAATGCATATTCAATACACTTACGTCTGGTGGCTGGCTGGCCGGCGAGTAACATTACACACCCTGTACTTCCTCCGCATGGTGCCACAGTGGGTGACCTCCACCTTTAGACCTGATGGGAGGAGAAGATCGAATTTACACCACTATACAGACGCAACTGGTAAGTTTACAGCTCAGAGTATTTTGACTATTAAATACAGTACAGGTAAATATTATGTTTCAATCCCAGTTGCAAATTTAATTTATGCAAAAATTAAAGAAGTAATGTGTAAATAAAGCAGAATTTCCTTTCCATGTTTCTCCTAAACAAAACTGTCACTTACGTCTGTCACTCACATCTTTGTGTTTCCATCCAGTTTTTTTTATTTTTTATATGTTATCCCAAAATGTGCATAAAAATATGTGGACAGAAACCTGGCTACTGATCTATAGCATTTACCATTCATGCATTTTTAAATATTTTATTTTTAAGAAGCCTGCATTTTTTTGATCAAACAATTCAGTAAAAACAGTAATATTATGAAATATTGTTACAATTTCAAACAACTGTATTTTATTTTAAAATGTAATTTATTCCTGTGATGGCAAAGCTGAATTCTCACTATGATGTTTATTCAGGATTCTTTGATGAATAGAAATTACTCCATTCTTCCATTCGCACAAACCTCTGATCTCTTTGGTGAATTTGACTCTATGGGAATCAGTAAGAGGTCGAGGCTGCTCATCGATGTTGTGGATATCCAGAACCTCACACATGAACGGAATCACAGGTTGAGCTTTGTAGAATGCAGTGGCAGACACTGTGGAGAAAATAAAACATGGTCAATGTTACACGATTAGTTAATAAAATAGTTAACAAGTCATTTGCAGGTTAAATCCCCCCAAATATAAACACAACGATGCTTTTAAAAGTGGGACTATCGGTTTGTCTGACCAATGACAGATAAAAATGACATTAAATTAAATGAAAGAATGTCAATAATGGCATTATTATTTTGGATCTTTTTCTTTTATAACCACTGAACTACTAGAACCACTGTCCAGATCATGTAACTGGATAATTCAGACCAAAATGGTTTGACCTATCATAACACTCTGACTTACCATCAATGTTCAACATCATTTTCCACATAGCTGGACGCACCGATTGGTGAAAGCCAAACCACACCTCCCTCCCCCCACCCAGTGGGTGATCATAGCCCTCGGGGGAAGAGAAAAAGGATCGTCCCACTGGGGTGTACCTGAAGTGAGAGAAGACAAACACAGTCGTTACCTGCAGAATAAACATGTGCACTCCTAAATGATCCTTATCCAACCGCTTACTGTTTATGCTACACTAATCTACAACAAAACACTTTCAGTCTCATTTTACTAGTTATGCACTGTATCGTTAAAGGCATAACAATCACTTAATGCTTTTCTAATTGTATTAAATGCCCTTTATGATCAGGTAACAGTACTCATGGGAACTCTTACTTCATAGAGGGCAGATGGCGCATAACAACATCTACAGCGTGTACGGGATTGGTGCTGATTGGCTTATCCAGGTTCAGAGGATCAGGTGTGCTCCTCCCAGTGAGGACCTCATGCAGCAAGTGCCAACTGACCAGTGACACAAACTTAATGGTGACCTTAAACAGCCTGTCCTTCCCACCTTCACCTGGCAAGGTCACATCCAGGTCCACCTTCAAATAATACACAAATGTACAGTATAATATTTAACACAAATTTACAAATGCGTTTTATTTAGTCACACAGGTTAAAATAATAAAAGACATGATCATGAAAAATTTTCTTAATGTATTAAAAAATGTGTTTATATTTGATATCATATTTTTATAAAAATGTGCAAATACAGTAAGGCGTCACAATGAACCGAAACTCAGCACATTTTTTTCGTTCATTTTGTTAATCTGTTAATGATTTAAGTTAGGGCTGCATGATAAATCGCAATGGCGATAAATCGCGATAAGGCAGAAGCTGCGATTGTCATGCGAATCTTTCAGTGAAGCACGGCTCTGTGATCAGTAGTAAATCTCCATCCGAAGGCCAGAGGGCGCTCTCGCACGGAAACTCCAAATACGCCCCGCAGAAGAAACCCAGGAAATGCCTATAGCGGTTGCTGAATAAACAGAAGATTTAACTGCTTTCATTGATTCAACGTGACTAATAAACACAAGACTATGACAATATATGATTTATCGGAGTTCTTCTTATAATTATTATTATAATTTTTATTATAATAAAGTATATAATAATGCAATGCTAATCAACATAGCCTTTATCACTGCTTAGAATTCTATTAAAGGGGTTATATGATGCTTTTTTAAAGATCATTATTTTGTGTATTTGGTGTAACAGAATATGTTGACATGCTTTAATGTTCAAAAAACACATTATTTTTCAAATACTGTACATTATTGTAGGTCCTCTATGCCCCGCCTCTCTCAAACGCTTCGTATGGAGCAGCATTTACTACACAGAGCTGTAGTTCACTGAGAAGCTACCGCAAACAGTTTTCATTATCGCAGACGATATCTTTGATTTCATTATCGCGTGATTAAATCGTCTGTGATAATGAATGCGATATTGCATAGCTTGTCAGTGAACTACGGCTCTGTGTTGTAAATGTTGCTCCATCTGAAAGCACGTGATGGAGATTTACTACTAATCACAGAACCGGCTTTACTGACAAGTTGCGCATGACAATCGCATTCGCAACAAGATGTGACCTTGTTGAATCCGTGTTCTATACTATCCTGCCATTTTTGCTGGTTTTAATATACACAATAAGCTGTATTACCTGCCATTCATTTTCACTTAAATGTAGGCCTAATGCGTGGTGTTTCCTCGGTTAAACTTACGCCTGGGCACTGCCATTGCGATTTATCTATGATGAATTTACAGCTGAGCGCGGGCATTTCACTCATTGGATGCTTCAACTTCACATTTGCATAGGCTACTTAAATTTGTGATTGGTGATTGGTTGACTGCAAAATTCAAATATTAAATGGAATGATAAAATAATGTTATTAACCGGTTAATGGCCATTTTTTAAAATTTTCGATTCTGTTCAGAACTCTTAAATTTGATTTTGTTTCTATGTCTGGTTATCGTTTTATTCGTATCGTAATTTCGTTCATTTCCGGTTTTCGTTTTCGTTCCTTGAACCGGTTCAGAGCCCTGCTTTCCACTTTCCACCACTCCTGGTGTCCATTTATATGTCTTACCCCCCCTGTGGCCACTGGCAACGGTTGGGCGGTGTAGAGGCTTTTCTTGCCATCATAGACTGGCCTTCTGTCCCCAAAGATTGTCACCTTAAAATGCTGCACCATGGAATTCACCACCTCCCTAAAAGCCATTACAGAAAGGGTCATAATAGTGGTTATCGTAGGTTTAAAGGAATAGTTCACCCAAAAATGAAAACTTGCTTGTAATTTACTCAACCTCAGGCCATCAAAGTTTCTTCATTGGATCAGATTGAGAAATTTAGCATTATTTCACTTGCTCACCAATGGATTCTCTGCAGTGAATGGGTGCCGTTAGAATGAGAGTCCAAACAGCTGATAAAAACATCACAATAATCCACGCAACATGACTTCAGTCCATCAGTTAACACCTTATGAAGTGAAAAGTTGCATGTTTGTAGGAACAAAATCATTAAGGCATTTTAAATTTAAACCATCTCTTCTGGACAAAATACCAATAATAATCTATAACCTGCTTCCTCCAGGGGAAAAAGTCCATCCCCCATTGTCCTCTCACATCAAAACCCATTGACATAATTGTTTAGAACTGTTTTGGACTGTTTTCACCTGTAAACATTGCTTGATCTGTGCATATTTCTCTCCTGATTCAGATGAGACGAATGGAGAAAGCAACATTATAGATCGAGGACTCATATTTTAGCTGAAGCAATGGTTTGAAATTGTCTACACACGACTACACACATGCTGCTTTTAACTTCACAAGACGTTAATTGATTGACTGGATGACCAGAATTGGTCATTCTGATGGCACCCATTCACTGCAGAGGATCCACTGGTGAGAAAGTGATGTAATGCTGAATTTATTAAAAAACAGTTAAACAGTTCTAATGAAGAACCAATTTTGTCTATTTTCTTTTCAATTTGACTAAATAGACTGATTAATGCACAAGTCTCTTGTGAATGTAATGGTCAAAACAAAATAAGTGTCACAAACTATATCAATTATTATTACTGCTCAGTGTTTGGCACCTGTTAACACGACGTGGGCACTTTTCGGGAGTGATGTCCACATCATACAGGTAGACGTCCATTTTGGGGATGTCCACCTGGAAGCAGTTGGCCAGCAGCTTGATGGGCTTCCCCATGGTGCCATAGCCTGGCCTCCGAGGTACGGAGAACAGGGGCGCAGCCCCAACGGCTCCTGTCATGAAAATCAGAGGGGATTTCCATCCATATGAGTTTTTTTCAAAATGTACCACATTAGTTAGACTTTCAAAATCAGTTATTACCACTAAACTGAAAATAAAAACCACAAAAATATGACATGTAATATCAAATAGCCGACACTGTCATGGTGCCATCATAATAATCATGAAATTAAAGCCAAATCAACCTGCACAGTCATAAAGGCGTTATTTCTCATTTGTCAATATTGACATTTCATGGAAACATGATTAATATCTAAATTAATAATAATAAATCTCTCGTTCTTGACACTGACATTTACACAGTGGGTGTTATTTGTCACTTATCAGGAAATTTCCTCTAAATGCCTACTCAGTGGAAACAACATAACACTCAGAATCATCACACCACACACAATACCAATAACCCACACCATTCGTACATGCACTATTGTATACTTGTGAAAAAATAAAACAAATACACTGTCACCTAAGACTTCTAAAGAAAGATTGCAATCAATTTGACTTGACTATTCAAAAGCACACTTTTTCATATACTCAAAAAGTGTGCATTTCATATACCCCGTGTAGTCAAATAAAATGCTTATTTTTTGAGAACATCAAGAAACAGAATGTTTTGTTTCCATTTCCATTTTTATAAGATGATTCAACAACTCCATGTAATAACTCAAAGGATAGTTCACTCAAAAATGTAAGTTCTGTCATCGTTTACGCAGATATTTTGAAGAATTTTCCACACTAAAAGTCAATGGCTATAGTCAACTGTTTGGAAACCAACAATCTTCAAATATATCTTCTTTTGTGTAAATGTCATGACAGAAAATTTTCATTTTTGGGTGAACTATCCCTTTAAAGACTTCAACCAGATGTCAAGTTTAAGTCATTTTAAGTTACATTAATTTTACAACACTGAAAGTTTTAAGATGACTGGGATCTCGGTTCAAAGACAATATTAAGAGTTCTTTAACTATAATTTCAGATGACCAAATCAACACGTCCAAATGAAAACTGTTTTGGCAGAATCAGCATTTGTTGATATGGCTGTAAAATAATAATAATAATAACAATGACTAAATAAAATCTAAATAAGAACTATTAATATTGTAATATTTCACTGTAAATAAAAAAATTGAGTATTTAAAAAATAATAAAATAATAATTTTACATTACAACTGTAAAATTATAATACTAATAGATTCAGAGATCTATTAGTTAATGTGAAGCAGCATTGACTGTGAACCGAAGAACTCTGCTGCAAACACCAGCGGATAGCGAGCTGCTCACGTGTAAGAACACAATGCTGTGCTTCACTATTTTATTTACTTAATTAAATCACAGCCTACACGATTTGATAATCACACTAAGCAGTATCGTGATTTTGGTTTTTATTTCGATTAATCATGTAGGCTTATCTTGGAGACAGGGCAGGTTGCTTTAAAGGAGATGAATGTCTACCCCTCTTTACAGGCCCCAGGAAAACGTTACTTAGCCCTATGTTGAGTAAATAACAACCTTTCGGCATTGCCATTTAAATCTGCTTTAGATGTTGCCTTTCATGTTGAGCCTTTGTCATCCTTTTCAATTTTCTTTCACTCTGAATATCAGCTCTCTGACATCACTTTTCTCACACTGAGTGGCATACTACATTATCACATCATGTCACAGAAGGCGAGACTGTTATTGCTGTTGTAAAGATGCTTTAGAGGGGGTTTACAGAGCGAAACTTTTACTGAGAGGTGTGTAAGGGGAATTCGACTGCAACTGCTTCTTACACTTCCCAGTGTGCCATTGCTATGCAACCAAGACTACACTAACAACCAATTAAAGGAAGAACAGCTGTTTCTATATATAGACACAGGTACAATTGATCTTGTAGGTCACACATGTGCATTTACTCTACAGTGTTCATACAGAAATCTCACAATGAAACACTTGACTGTACTGGTCACACACTTTCAGGCTCACATGAGTCCACTTTTCTCACTTTATTTGAAACCTAGCAGTTTCTTGACAGCATAGACCAGGGGTGGCGAACGTCGGTCCTGGAGAGCCGCAGCCCTGCAGAGTTTTGCTTCAACCCTAATCAAACACACCTGAACAAGCTAATCAAGGTCTGAAGTGTTACTAGAAAGCTACAGGCAGGTGAGTTTTAATTAGGGTTGGAGCTGTACTCTGCAGGGCTGCGGCTCTCCAGGACCGAGTTCGCCACCGCTGGCATAGACTAAGAGGAACATACCGGTTTGACAGTGATGTGGTGAGATCGGTTTGAAAGGCTATTGTTGGTCTGGTGCTTGGAGTGTAATGATCACTTAACTGGCAAATAGGTGACTGGAACGTTTACAAGGGTTTCACTCATTCAGGGACTGAGCCACATCTCCTTTCATTTAATTATTTAAAGCTAGTCAGGCAAAAGAATTTAAAGTTGTCTGATACTCATTTAGACAGACAGTTTTGCACTATATATGGGCTTCTATTAATGACAGATGGATATATTCTCAAATGTCGCTAAAATAATGTGTATCAATACGGGCATTGTTAAATTGTCAGCATTGATAATTAATTTCCCTGATTCGCTGATTAACAGAAGTGGTCATTCTGCCTAGTGTCAGTTACAAAATCTACAGGTAAGCTGGTTATATAATGTTGTCCATATTTGTGTAAAATATGTTTAGATTTAAAATTTAACTTGAGCAATTAAACAGATCTGTATTATACGGTATACCAGGGGTGCCCAATCCTGCTCCTGGTGATAGACTGTCCTGCAAAGTTCAGCTCCAACCCTAATCACACACACCTGAAGCAACTAAGGTCTTCAGGATCACTTGAAAATTAAAGGCAAGTGTGTTTGCTTAAGCCTGGCTCACACTATAGGATTTTTGCCCCGATTTCCCCCTCCCGAGAATCGGAGCAAAAATCTTGTCAAACCCCTCGATCGGTCCCGATGTTCGGCGCGGATTATCTGGTAATGCGAGGCGTTCACCGATCGAATCTTGCACCTACCGATCAGTTCGCACACAAATCGGGGCCGCCCCGATCATATCAAACATGTTTGATATTTAGGATTTAAATCGGGATGATGACGGCTATATGATTACGTCAGTACTTTTACAATAGCCAATGCGCGACCGCAAAACAGCTGCTGTATGGCCCTGTTGGATAGTGGAGATGGAGGAAACTGCTTCTTGACGTTTTATAGTGTAACGACTGTCTGTATAATGTGTCGAAAACGTATCACAACTGTAAGGAGAAAGAGAAGCACTGGAGTGAAATCACCTCAGTTTTGAATGTACCGGGTGAGTGTAGAAAGCAGCTAGCACACTAGCTAACATATGTAAACATCACTGAAATATCAATGACAATCTGCTGCGTGAGATTACGTGAGGCGCTCCCTCTGGCATGATAATCTTAATAATATCTTGTAGTGTGTGATGCGCCACGATGTTAAAATCTTGTAGTGTGTGTGCATGTTTAAGATTTGAGCCCGGCTTTAGAGTTGGAGCTTAACTTTGCAGGACAGTCGATCGCCAGGAGCAGGATTGAGCACCCCTGCTGTATACAGTGTGCAAATTTTACTGTGACTTTTAGTCAAATTAATTATTATAGGAAAATTTAGGGGAGGGGCATTCTGATCTCTTATCACGCAAATCAAATTGTTATTTGGTCACACTGGCACAGTTAGCCAAAAGTCAACTATGTTAAAGACATTTTAAACAACACCAACTTTACTTAAAATTTGTTTATTAGAAAGGGATAAATAAAACTTGTGAAATTGAGAAATATAGTCATAAAAATGGAATTTACTGTATATCATGGAATGTCATCGAATTTGTCAATTTGGATAAAGCAGGCCTGTACACTTAAATCATGATGCATGCTTTTAGATTATTAAAACAGAACTCAGAAAAAAATCTGTTATTTGGTGGACGTTAAAGACTTTTTAAACAAGACTAGCTTTTCTTGAAATGTCTATAATAAAGTGATAAACAATGATTTGAGAAGTGCTTGAAAAGTACTATTGCATGTAAAATGCTTTTTCCTTTTTTTTTTTCTTTTTTTTTTTTTTTTTTTTTTTTTTTTTTTTTAAGTTACTAATGGTCAAATTTCTATAGGAACTACTCTTGCGCAAATGTTACATTATTAACACATTTTTTTTTCTGAGCAAAAAAAAAATTACTATCATTTTTACCATGATTTACAGAAAACGTCATTCAGTGTTACAATATTTTGTATATCAAAAAAAACTTGTCAGGCATATTTAGAAAAAGAATCATTAGATGACATTTAAAGACTATTTATGAACCACAGTGCAGTCCCAAAATACTAATTCGTTATCATTTTAAATCTTTACCACTATAAGTTTATTTTTTTATCACTTAAAATGAAATAAAATTTTGTATAATCACTTTTACTTGTAGGCTATATATTGTACTAAGTACAGATCAGAATAAGTACGTTGTTTCATTTTCGAGAGAGAGAGTTATGTAAATAGAGAGATATGTAAACGCTGACTTTTCTTAAAATGCATATAAAGTGATAAATAATGATTCGGTAAATGTGCCGTTGTTACGATTACCTCCTCAAGCAAACGCAGCGAGTGTATGTTTACCGCCTGGTACTTGCATGTAAAATTAACAAGGATTTTAAGATCTCAACCTCTTCCTTCCTATGGGGCTACTAAAGGTGCCAGGCCCCCCAAACGCCCCGACACATATAATCTCGGCATCTCTATAAATTCAAAGGAATCTACAACGAATAAAACTTTCTAATGAACTTCTGGTTAAATACAAAACGATTTCCACGTAAGAATCTTACGTAAAATCGTTCAGATTGATAAAGCGGTGATTCTGTGACAGTCGTCATGGCAGCGGACAATCAGAAACTCGCCCCCTCCCCACGGCGGCTCGAGGACTGCCGCACGCACCTGTGCGTGACAGCTGTGCGACGTCAGTAGAGCAAGTGAGTCAGGATCTTCCACACTCGGCGTATGATAGCCAAAAAAAAAAAAAACATAACCAAACCCTCACACTCATTTGGTTGCTACGCCCAAACGTCCACGAGCAGTGAAACAGATCTAAAAGCTCATTCGTATCACAAAAAGCAGTTATTAGCAACTCGCCAAGAACGTTTGCTAAGCAATGAACGTGTGCTTGACGGTGGACGTAACAAAGTTAGACCGAGTCAATACATCATAGTTCGGAATAGAAAAGAATCCGAAATCGGTCTGAAAACGTCGAGAACGACGTAAGTTACCTGTAGTTCCGATTTCCATTCATGAGGTCTCTGTCCGGATTCTAGCCGGCTCCTGGGGATCAAATACCGGCTGAAAGGTGTTTGTTTAAAGCCAATGAATGTCCTCCGTAAACCGAACTACACCCTGGCTGTCGAAGCGGGCCGCTCCGAGGTTCTGCTACGGTCGGAGGTCCACCCAGCCAGTACCGAGTCAGTCAACCAAAAGGCACGAACTCCCCACCGTGTCTCCTACCGTATGTCGATGATCCGTAATTGCTACCAGTTGACAAGCCAAAAGACCCCGAAGGAAATATCTTTAACAGCCGTCGCGAAAAATAGTTTGTCAGGAGCCTCGGACCATTCGCGGTGTCTTCTAAATGACAATCTCTTATAATTTAAAGACATCCACTCAGATATGAAGTTTATAGATGAATATCCGCTGCCGAGTCGAAAATGTGGGTTTTATTCCAGTCGCTTTAGTCCGAGTTTGCCAGCGGCCGCTGACGTCTCATCGACTCAGTCGGTGTGTTACCGGTTTGCCTTGGGTTTACCATCTCTGTACAGTCAGGGTATGTTGCCAGATCTATACTAAACAAGCAAGTTGGTCTGATAAAACTAACTCGGAACACGCGGCTTGCGTATTCAAAATCAGTCTAAAATAGCCAAAATTTTAACCTACAGTTTCTTTATTTTTTGAGTCACTGCAAAACTGAAATAACCCCAAACCTGAAATCGCCTTTGTTTATAAGCAAAAACCCACAAAACTTCAAATACACGGACATGGCAACACTGAATCAGGGAGACCCACAGGAAATACCAAACGCAGGAAACACCGTCACTTCCTAGCAAAATGTAATTTATTTGATCCACCTTTGATTATTTAATGAGTAGTGTAAGAACAAAAATTACAAATGAACCCTCTATAAAAATGTTTTTATAGTGAATAAAACATTTTCTATTACTATTATTTTTTTTTTTAAATAATTGATTTCATGGCAGTAAGGGAAAATGTTCCTCACAAGAACAGTTTAAATTCTCCAATTTGTTCATTAG